AAAAAAAAAAAAAAAGAGATCCTCCCACCTCAACCTACCAAGTAGCTGGGACTATAGTTACATGCTACCATGCCCAGCTAATTTTTATATTTTTTATAGAGACATTTTTATGTTGCCCGGGCTGGTCTCAAACTCCTGGCCTCAAGTGATCCTCCTGCCTTGTCCTCTCAAAGAACTGGGATTATAGGTGTGAACCACTGCACCCAGCTGTATTATCTTCATTTTATAGGTGAAAAAACAGAGGCTCAAAGAGGTCAAGTGATTTACACATGTCATACAACTAAGAAGAGGCAAAATAGGGATTCAAACTGAGATCTGTCTGCTTCCAGAGTTCATCTTTTAACCATATGCTCTTAACTACCACCTTGATTTCCTCAGTCTCCAACTGGAAGGCAAAGGAAAAATATTTATGGTTATAGGCAAATAGAGAAGGCATATTCCACATAAAAAAGGTACCCACTCCTCACCTCTAACCAACTGCTGGTACACAGGAATTGGGGCCCAATGCTGTTTGGATCTTCTAATTTCCCAAGAAAACCAAGTATCAGGATTTTTATAAAAATGTAAATGTCAGCCATTTCAAAGCAAATTCCAAAGATATTTTTTGAGCCAAACAAAACTTATGTGGCTTACAGCAGCTCTGGGTTATCTCCCACAGCAAAAATGAATCCTTTGCCTATTTTCCCTCACCTGGAGGGGCTCTTCACTGCCTGCTTCCCCAGCACCTCTACAACATTTTCTACTTCTGTCCCACAAATGCAGTCTTTCTGAAAAAATCCAGTCAAGTCCTGCAGCTTGCTCTTCCTAACAAGTCAGTAAAGTGGTTCCCTGAGGAGATACTTTCCATTTCCTGGCCTGTTTGAGATCACTCGGCATTAGTGTGTAAGTGCGCTTGGGGGTATAAGGCTTACTGACTCATAAGTAAGTATGCTTCAGCCTGTGGCTGTAAACCAAAACCAGGCTGACTGGCCCTAACCTCAAACCTGTCTTGAGCAGAGGATATATTAATAACATTGTGATTCCTAGAGAAAAAGCTGAGGAAGATTTGAGGAAGCAAGAGGGGTACAGGAAATGGAGTGATCATAGTAGTCAAATGGCTGAAAGACAACCCCAACAATACTAGTAATTAAGAACTGCTAGGTCAGGAGCGGTGGCTCACGCCTGTAATCCTAGCACTCTGGGAGGCCAAGGCGGGTGAATTGCTCAAGGTCAGGAGTTCGAGACCAGCCTGAGCAAGAGCCAGACCCCGTCTCTACTAAAAAATAGAAAGAAATGATCTGGACAACTAAAAATACGTATGTAGAAAAAATTAGCTGGGCATGGTGGCACATGCCTGTAGTCCCAACTACTCGGGAAGCTGAGGCAGTAGGACTGCTTGAGCCCAGGAGTTTGAGGTTGCTGTGAGCTAGGCTGATGCCACGGAACTCTAGCCTGGGCAACAGAGTGAGACTCTGTCTCAAAAAAAAAAAAAAAGAACTGCTAGACAGACATTGTGCTAAGAGCTTTATACGTATGTTTTATTTAATTCTCATAACAACTCTACAGTTGTTAAAGTCACATGCTTAATATATAATAGGTTAGGACTTTCACCCATGTTTGTCTGCATCCAGAAGCCAAAGTCTTACCTTTTGCTCTACTGCCAGATCAAAGAAAGATTAATTATTCTATCTAAATCTGGAGAACAGTACTGGGAACAATGGCTCAAAGTTCCAGGGAAACAAATTTTAATTCTCTATAAGGAAGGCTTAACAATCTGTGCTGCCTAATGATATTGGTAGGCCTGGGCTTTCTGAAAATGTTAGTTAGGACAACAATCTACCGGAAATGTAGACCTGGAAGTTACCTTATAACACTAAGACACTTTGATTCCCTTGTGAAATTCCACTAAACATCATCAGTTGCTCAAATTTAATAACAGATTTTGACACAAAATTACTCAACTGACCAGAAAGCCAAGTAGCGCTCTGCGTCACTGCTCACCTTTATGATGTTGGCACAAAACCGCTCCCAAAGTGACAGCTCTCCTTCCTTGATCCATGACATAGTTCTTGCCCAATCAGAAGATCACCACAGAACAAGACAGGGGCCAGGTAACCTTAGATAAACAAGAAAGAGAACAAGAAGTCACCAGGGCTTGCAAACAGCTACAGATGACTTCTATGGATTCGACTGGACTGTGGAGAGCAGCCAGCATTAAAATCCAAAGACCCTGGTCTAAGCCTCTAATTCTTCACCGCCTAGAGTTGTGTAAGCCTGTATGACCTTTAGGGGCAGAAACCTTTTCTTGGTTCTCCTAGCTTCATGGGCCTGCTCTCATTCCCTTTTCCTCAGTATCTGCACTGACTTCTGGACATCTAAGTCGGCTTCCTGCCACATCATGGTGCCCGCATCTTGATCATTTTCCGCTTCTTCCTTCTCCATCTTCCGCCAAGCCGTTCCCCACTCTGCGCTCCCCAGTTACTAAGTCCTTCAGTTATCCCAGCCCTGCTACCGCATACCTCAGAGGCCTCCTAACTATTCCTCAGCTCTCTCCTTACCTTTGCCGCAGCCGCCTCCCGCCCGGTCACCCCTCTCTCCTCTCGCTCACCCCTTCAGTCCACCAGCACCTGATTCGGCTGGCTGTATCCCAACTGCTCCAGAGGGCCAACTCTTCCTCACGACGTGGCGCTAGAAGAACACGTCATCTTTGGGCGCTGGGCACGCCCTCTTCCGGCACCTAGTGGGCGGGGCCCAGCCCTGCTCCCGCGGGCCAGGGAGAGGGGCGGCGGCGCGGGCGTCCTAGGGCCGCAGTTCGCGCGCTCCCGCGCGGCACGGGAGGAACGCGGGCGCCATGCTCACGTGACCGAGCGGGGCGGGCAGCCGGGCTCCAGGCCACGTGCTGGGGACCCGGCTGGGGAAGGCGGGGCAGAGCCCAGCATGGGGAGCGGAGAGTTCAGTAGACTCACAGAATGGGATGCCTCTGGAAAACGGGCTACGGAAATGTGCCACAAGGCAAGAATTAAGGGAGCCCCACTTCAGAAATTGAGGGGCTTCCCGGCCGCCGATGGTCGTTTAGGACTGCTGTAAGGCAGTGTCTTGCTGGCTGGACTTCATTAGATCCCTGGTACAACATAATCTTGAAAATTATATTTTTACTGGTTCGTGTTTTATTTAGTGGATTTTGTTTGGGAAGAAGTTCCTAGCCCTTGCCAATCCTATAGATGGACTGAATATAAATCCATCTTGTGCCGATTTAAGGGATTAAAGCACTGTGTTTTAGGATTTGCAGATTCCCAAGACCTACCCAAAGAAATGCAAAGAAAGGGGTAAGGCCCGAAATTGGTCTGCAATCAGAACGACTTCTAAAATATAAGAAAGGCTGTTAGTCCTAGTAGAAAAACCAAGGTCCTTCGCTCTGTACCAAACCTTTAAGAAAAAAGTGTTGCTGGGATTTTAGGCACTAACTCACAAAAGAAATTGGTAGTTTAATTTTCTCAAAATTGAAGCAGGAAAAAAAAAGCTTTCAGATTCTAATGCAACCATTATTTCTTTCAAGTATAAAACTTGGATCTGAATTTTTTGAGTAAAATAGAGTTTCACAATTTTCAAAGAAGCTTCTTATCCGACTTTGCATAAACCCAGTCTCATCAAAAAAATGAGGCAAGTAAGAGATGTGCATTGGTGATCCCTAATTCATGATGTGTCTTTCACTCTTTCTGATGAAAAGTTTAACAGAGTGACATAATCAGAGAAAGGCCTGGAAATGAGTAGATATGAATATATTGTCTTAAGCTTTTCCATCCTTCCTGCTTTGCAACCTGGAGAGTAAATTTCAGCATACTTTATTTCAATTTTGCAGGAAGATTCTTTACTGGAGCCTTGAATTTTGGTACAGTTGTTAGTGAACATATTGTTCTTACCCTTGCTCTCTGATAATGTTGCCAGGCTTTAGGATTTAAACAAGTTTCCCTGTTTCCTTGCATTTTTTGTTAATACTTGGTTTGCCTCTAATCAAGTTTTTTTCCTTTTAAAATCTTCTTTCCCTTAGGGGGAGATAGATATTTTAAAAATTCAATGTTCATTAGAAGGCTGGCAAACTTTGGCTCAAAGAAAATGTTGCATTTATAACTAGTCAGTGAATCTCTTCTGGCCTCAATTTCCCCAGTTCTACATACAAATTTATCTCCTTGGGGTGCTGCAAGGGGTTAATTAATTAAGATTTGTAAAGGGCTTTGAGGAGTAGAGGGCAAAGTATTATTAGGGTCTCATGCCCCAAGCCATGGCCCCATCCTTTCATCCCAGCCAGTGGCACAGGCAACCCCATTCTTATGCATGCCAAGCCCCTAATCCCCTCTTGAATGTGGCAGCTTTCAAGGAAAGGACAAGAGGCCTTAACTAGAAACAAAAATCCACTGTAATGAGGTGCTAAGAAGACTGAAATTTCAGAGATTCACTCCTAACAAAGTGGCAGAACAGGAAAACTTAATGGTTCTTCTGTAACTTCTGAGTTGTGATCCAGGAAGGTGGGAACTATGGGAGGAGAAAAAGCATCTGAGAGGGAGAAGGCAGTTTCAGTACCAATAAGTCTTTATTTATTCATTGTATTTTCCCAGGGAAAGTAGAAAGGAAGGGAAAAGAGTCAGCATGTGTGCTACAAAATGATTAGAAAATGGGAAAAGAAGTACCCAATACAGCAAAATCAACCATCAAATAAACACACCCCAGGATGGGGTCCACCAAAGCCCAAGGGGGCTTAGTCTCCTGCAGTTCAGGAATGAGGGGAAGGGATCAGGAAAAGAACAGACAAGTACAAGCTTTCCTACCCTCCCTCCCTCCCTCCCCATAAATTCAAGATTTCACACAAAGCTTTGGTTTCTAGCAGTAAACATGGAGTTACATTCGTCCGTCTCCTATTAAACAATCTTGTGGCCACTTTGACATAAGTTTCTTGCACCTGTACAATAAAAGTTCCTGAGTGACTTGGATATACATTCATAATCCCTTTCTTGGTCTCCTGCCTCGACTTTCTACATGGAAGGCCCCCAATTGCGTCTCTCTACTTTTGGATTACAGATTAAGTAGGTTTGATCCATCCAAAATACAGCAGTGTTTCAAGTGTTTGGCATGAATCACCATCAAGAAATGGTCTTGACTTAAGAGGTTGGGAACAAGGGATGCAGCTAGCTTCTTCAGGAGTTTTGCATAAATCATTGAAGAGTTGTGGAGACATCCCAAGAATTAAATGCATTATGTGTGTGGGTGTGTAGCTTTTCTTTTGGGGGGGATGGGAAAGAGGGTAGCGAGACAAGTTTTTAGGACAGAAGATCTGGTGGAAAATAGGAAACAGGAAGGGGAACACAAAAGAAAAAGGTTGGTGTTCAAGATCCCCACTTCAAGAAGAGGGCCTCCCCAAACTAATGTTTCAGATCCTTTTGCCTGGTGCAGAACCTTCTGTCAAAGACGCTTTGGCTATTTTTCTCTCAATACAAAAAGAAGTTTGTAAACAATAAAACCCCAAAAGAACATGAAAACCAACACATTATATTTACACAAACTAGGCCACCTAGCAATCACCAACTCAGTAAAGTCCTACAAAGCCCAGACAAATACAATAACTAGAGAGGGGCAGCATTTAGGGGAGACAAGAACCCAGGATCAGACACACACCACCCAATGCATTCTATTGCATTTGTCCCGTTTCAACACAGTGAGGTAGGTTTGCAGTGATCTCACAGCATGTAAACGACACCCCCTTTGCTCCTTCAGCTACCATGACACTATTAATGACTACTGCAGCAGGGCAGGACACTGGCTCCGGGCACCACAAAAGGCCCTCGTTTATGGGTCTCCCTGGAACCTTAGAAATTTGAAAGGTTAAGGATTTTAGTCCTTGATTCATGTATCCATCCCTTAACAGCATAGGATGAGTACAGGGGTATTGGTCTTAAAACTTATCCTTACTGACTCAGTTTTTACGAAAACACACATACACCCTGTTGTGCATGATAGACCTAGCCTGACCCAGTGAAGGATGGATTGGGTATGTAAAGCATGTCCTGTGCCCTAGGATTAGACAACCCTCACCTAATCTTGGCTTCCTCTGGGCCTTTCACCTGGCCCAGCCTCTTCTAACTTCTCTGCACCACCTTTTGCTGTTGAGACTAATTTCTAATCTTCCAGTAGAAGGCGATCAAGTCATGGGGCAAC